GAGATAAAGGAAAAGGGAGAGGAGGAGAAGGCGATGAGAAAGATGAGGAGGAGGAAGAGGAGAAGGAAAAGGGAGTGAAGGAGAAGGAGGAATAGGAGGAGGAAGATGATGATGATGACGAGGAGGAGGAGGAAAATGGTGATAAGTAATAGGTGGAGCATAGAGATAATGAGGATGATGAGGAGACAGGAGAATCAGGGAGAAGAAGGGAGAGGAAAGGCAGGAAAAGATAAAACCATCTGTGTATCTGTGTCTGTGTGTGTGTGTGCATAGACGCATGTGTATGTGTCAGCATATGAGTGCGCGCGCATGCATATGTATGTGACAGAAAGACAGGCGAGAGTGTGGGGGGGAGTGGGGGACGAGGGGAGGGGGCCCGGGCGGACGACCCTGTGGGAACCGTCTCTCCTCCCCCCCCCCCCCCACGGCGTCGCTGGACATAACCACGGGGTCAGGTTCAGGGGGGGGGGAGGGAGAGGGGAGAGGGACCATAGAGGGAGGAAGAGGTAAGTGAAAAGGGAGAGAAGGCGAGAGGAGAGAGACGTGGAAAGGGGAGGCGAGGGGAGAGGAGTTAGGGGAAGGAAGAAGGGGAAAGATGGGGGAATGGGAGGGGAGAAGGATGGAAAATGGACATGGGGAGAGAGGAGAAGAGAGAGGAGGGGGGAGGGAAGGCGAGGGGGACTAAGCAAGGGGAGGGGAGGCGAGGGAGAGATGAAATGGGAGGGAAGAAATGAGAGGAGAGGGGGAGAAGGAGGTGAAGAAGGAGAAGAGAGGGGGAAGGAGGAGTGGCCAGTGAAGGGATGGGAATATGTGGTCATGGAGGGGGCGTCGGGCAGGGGGAGGGGAGGGGGATGGGCCGAGTAAGATGACCTGTGGAAAGACATTTTTCTTTTTCCTTTTTTATTTATGGCATCACGGGAATTATCCGTAAACAGCGCGACTTCATGGCTGGTTGGAGGTTAAAGGTATTTCACAGTCGTGTTGGGAAATCTTTGTCTTGCACAGAAATACGAAAGTATAGGTGTGCGGAGGGTGAATCGCTCGTGTTGATGTGATAATCGTTATATCATCATCACTATCGGTATCATCATCTTAATCACCACCATCATAATCATAATCATCACCATCATCATTATCACCATCACCACCATCATTATCACCATCACCATCATCATCATCATCATCATCATCATTATCAACATCATCATCATCACCATCATTATTTCACCATCACCACCATCATAATTATCATCATCACCATCACCATCACCTCCACCATCATCATCATCATTATCATTGTCTTTTTCCTCCTCATCATCACCACCATCATCACCGTTCTTATTAACCCCTTCCTTGTATTATGATCACCGTCATCGTTGCATTCATCACCAAATCAAAGTATTCCGTTGGTTTGAATAACATCAACATGCGTTCTTAATAATGCTTTTTTGTCGTTATCCTTATTGTTATCTTTATTGTTGCTTGCGTTGTCAAGATCAGTTTAAATGAGAGAGAGAGAGAGAGAGAGAGAGAGAGAGAGAGAGAGAGAGAGAGAGAGAGAGAGAGGAGAGAGAGAGGAGAGAGAGAGAGAGAGAGAGAGAAAGATAGATAGACAGATAAAGAAGGTAAGAAACAGAGAGAGAAGAGAGAGAGAGAGAGAGAGAGAAAGAGAGAGAGAGAGAGAGAGAGAGAATAGTCAGATGTATAGATAGACAGATAAAGAAGGTACAGAGGAAAAAGAGAGAGAGAGAGATACAAGAGACAGAGAAGGGAGGGAGGGGGAGGGGTTGATAGAGGGTGCAGAAGAGGAAGAAGCGAGGGGAGGGGGAGGGGGTCGTGAGAAATTCCCACACACTGGCGGCAGCGTGTTTGACACACTCCTCCCACCCTCTCTCACTCCCCCTCCCCCGACCGCTACTTCCCTCCTCCCCTCCCCCCACTCCCCTTCCTCTCTTCCTCTGTCACAACGCCGCTCATATCCTTTACCCGACCCCCCCTCCCTCCCTCCTCCTTCCCCTCTCCCACCCCCTCCCCACCGTCTGCCTTCCCCTAGCTTCAGCCCCCTCCCCCCGTCCTCTCTCCCCCACAAAATCCCTCCCCCTCCCTCCTGTCCCCTCCTCTACAGACCCCCCTCCCCCCCACAACCCCTTCTCCCCTTTCTCCTTTTGCATTTCTTGACTGCTGCTGCTATCACCTCTTCTCTCTCCTTACCTTTATCATTTTTCTTTTTTCACCTTTTCCATTTTTCCCTTTTTTCTTATTTTTTATATATATTTTTTGTTTCATATTTTCCTTCCCTTTATTTTCTTTCTTTTTTTTCTCCATTATTTATGCTCTTTGGTGTTTTTCTTTTTTGTTATTTGTTTATTTCTTTCGTTTTCTTTATTCTTCCTTTCTTTTCCTATCTCTCTTCTTTTTTCATTTCTCTTCCTTTCTTCCCTTCTCTCTCTTCTTTCTCTCTTTCCATCATTTTTTCTTTCTTCCTTTTCTCTTTCCATTA